GGTCCCCCTGGCTCCGCCACTGCCTAGATGTAGAGACCGGAGTCTTACACCTTTTTTAAGAAAAGAAAAAACACTTTTTAGCGTTTTAATGAAACTGAACATGAAAACATGAGAGCGCGGCTATCGTGAGATGGCTACATGTTTTTGATATTACTTCCTCCGCCCTGTAATATCTTGCAAAATGATTTTATATTCTAGGCGGAGGAAGTATTAAGTAAGAGAATTGAGAAGATAGCAACAATAATTCATACTTCCTTTGTTTCAAATTACTTATGTTCTACATTTGTTTAGATACAAATGTGTCTAGATATGTTTTAGGGTTAGCTACATGTGTATCTAGACAAATTTAAAACAAGTAATCTGGAATAGAAGTAAATATGGAAATCAGAAGGTCACGTGAGTGACCACCGGGGATACCACTATATAGATATGGAGAGGGAGCTCCAGCCTTCTCGCCTTTCTCGGTGTTCAATGCTCTTAAGCCACAAACTCTCTCTTCCTCTCTGCTGTCTCTCTCGCCCCGCTTCTACTGGGAGATTGTGCTGCGGTGCGAGAGAGAGATGATGTCGAGGGAGCGCAAGAAAGCGGCAGCTCTGCAGGAGAAGCTGCAACTCCTTCGCTCTCTCACCCACTCCCATGCTGTAATTGATCCATCCCCTCCCCTTAGTTTCTCAATTTCCGTCCCAGTTGTGCAATCTCCACATATGTATATGCCTTTTTCGCCTAGGAGCTGGTTGTGCGATCTTCATCATGCCTGCTAGCTAGCTCTTTCTTTCTGGGCAACTTAATTAAGTAGATGGATGTGATGCGTGGCTGCAGCTGAGCAACACGTCCATAATCATGGACGCCTCCAAGTACATCAAGGAGCTGAAGCAGAAGGTGGTGATGCTGAATCAGGAGATCGCTTGCGCGGCGCAAGACTCGTGCAGCAGACAGACCACCTACCCGACGGTACGTACGCATGAATGCTTGATTTGTTTCTTATATACTCCGTAAAGAGGGAGTAAAGAAATATAAAGAGTGTTTAGATCACTAAAAAGTAGTGATCTAAACGCTCTTATATTTCTTTCTTTACAGAGGGAGTAAAAGAGTAGCACACATGCTAACACAAGGCAGGGAGATTTGGATTGAAACAGTAATACACTACACACATACATATGTAGATGTAGGACCGCTCCTACACACATGCATAAAGCTTCCAAAACCCTCCCTGCATTTATATCGATCTGGTACGTACCCGCATGCAGGTGAACGTTGAAACCCTAGGACACGGGTCGTTCCTCGTCAATGTGTTGTCAGACAAGAGCTGCCCGGGGCTTCTGGTTTCCATCCTGGAGGCCTTCGACGAGTTGGGCCTCAGCGTCCTCCAAGCCACGGCCACTTGCGCGGATACTTTCCGCCTAGAAGCCATAGGAGGGGAGGTAACAACAAGCTAATACGCTATGTACCAAAATATATAACTAGCCTACAGAAACGTCTTATATTTTGTTGATATATGATACGGACTGACCAAAAGAAGAAAATAAATTAGCTACTGTATATATGTAAGCCAGATGATGATTTCCACTCTATCTATGCAAACGTGCAGAACCTGGTGGAGAACGTGGATGAGCACGTCGTGAAGCAGGCCGTGCTGCGGGCCTGCTCCTCGCACAGCGGCGGCGGCGGCAACAAGCAAACATAGCGCAAGCTAGCAGATCCTCGCCCTCGCCCTCGACCGTCAAGCATCTCAATAACATATAGTATTGGTTAATCTGGTCTATTGATTCTCCCTCTCTCTATATATATCATATATCTCCCTACCGTTCCTTCCTTGTTCGTCTACCGGTGATGGATGAATGATGAGGTGCCTATTCTCGATCGAGTAATGTTGTTAGTCATGATGCATGCAAGGCGGGGCATAATATGACCAAGCATGCATCATGATTAAGGCCTTGATCATGTAACACATGCATGTGCTGTGAGGTCTGGAAGCTAAGAGCTAAACGGTTGGAGCCTTGTGTCGTACGTATCATATATGTACTCTTTCTCAAAAAAAAATGCAGGATGTACATGTCCACCTCCATCCATGAACCTGATGAGATCATGCATCAGGGCCTGACGACGCATGCATGCGATGCACGAGCACAACAGTTGTTGCATGGATAATAAAGCTCTTATCCGGGAAAAAAAAAGATAATAAAGCTCTAGCTAGCTAGGCTCCGAATCTAATCTGTAGTGACTGAAAGCAGACGAATATGGAGGGAGCCCAATGGCTTCACAAGTAGGAGTAGAATAGTAAGCAACAGTAGGTGTGCAACCCTCAAGATAGTTTGAATAAAAGAGGAAGGGCAAAAGGCGAGGTTCCAAAAACAGAGGAAAGCAGCGAATGAGAGAAGGCCCGGCCGTGCATGCTGATTGATTTAACCCGCGGTCACCCTCACACCTGCATGCCAAGGCAACGATAGGTAGAGAGGGTGAGGTCGGCCGATGGCAATGGCATTGGGGCGAGGAGGAGGGAGCACAAGGGCCGCTGTCTTGGTGCGTTGGCTAATACTCCCTCCGGTCTTTTTTACTCTACACATTGGATTTGCCGAAAGTCAAACTTTGCTAAGTTTAACCAAATTTATATTAGAAATTATTAACATCTATAATATCTAATAAATATAATATGAAAATATATTCCAAGATGAATCTAATGATATTGGTGTTGTTATGTGAATGTCTATAATTTTTTATATAAACTTGGTCAAAGTTGGATGAGATTGACTTCAGACAAACCTAATATACAGAGTAAAAAGGACAGAAGGGAGTACGTACGTACTCCTTCACGCGACGCCCTGACCTGCATCAGTATTTACCAGGCCCAGCTGGGCATGAGTGTAACAGTTTCCAGCTCCGGCGTCCAGAGCGTAGCCAGAGACCGCCTCCGGGCGCGCATTTGTCATGTCATGTGTTTGTGTTGTGTTGGCTTCCCCTGTCTATCTGTCTGTCCGTCCGGCACCGGCACTGGCACTGGCAGCCAGTCCGGCGCCCTTATGCCTCACGAGAGGGATTTTCGCGTGGCTCCATGTACGTGTGGCCCTGCCATCGCCCTTGTCGTCGTCGGGCTCGGACTCGGGCCCTATCCTACCTCCCCTGGCCCCTAGCCTCTGTTCCAGCGGCCTTGGACGGACACATACAGGGTGTGTGCTCCCCTGGCCCGTAGCCTCTGTTCCAGCCTTGGACACATAAAGGGTGCTGTTGCTCACGAGGCGACAATCAGGGCACTCAAACTCTGAGCAGGTCATGCCCCGGGCGGGATGCATGACTCACCACTCATGATGTGACGCTCGCTTCACCCATGGCCATGGATCAGGCTTCAAATCAACGGCCAAATGTACCGTAAATTATAATGTTTGTAAACGACTAACATAGTATATAGGTGACTGGTTATATGAAATCAAGACAACCAACGAAAACTGCATATTGGTAATGGCCGCTGAAAATGGTTAATGAATACCCCTACTTTTCATCGCCATAGTAAAACAAACAATTATATACTACAACCTCTGTTCCTAAATATAAGACGTAACAGAGGTTGTACTTGTAAGGAGGGAACAAAACTAGGCACTCAATCAAATCAAATCCAATCCTTGATATTGCATCAAAATACTTTTGGCAAGTTTGATGAAAGGGGAGCAAAAAATTCAACACTTACAGTCTGCAGGTTTTCCTAGTCTGGTCAATGAATGGCTCAGGCTCTCACAGTGTTAGATAAACGGCATTGCCTCCCAAAAAAGTATTGCTCCTGTATGGAGGATTGCCTGAGAAAAACATTACTTAAGGGTGTGTGGTTTGGTTCCTCATCCACTTCGTCATCAGCTTGATAAAGACAAATTAGCCACTGCCAGTATTCTTTCGAGCCATTTTTACCCGGTCGTAATCGTCTTTCCATGCTCTATAAGCTGTCCTAACTTCATCCAGCTGAGGATCTGGTATGCTGGTGAAGTGGTCCAAGTTCTCCACCCATTCTTGCCACGGAGGAAGGGATGCATCCAGGAATTTTGCTAGCTCAGGCACAAGAGCCACCTTGTAGAATTCCATTACACCCTTCTTGATTTCTTCAGATTCATTAATTGACTGGATGCCAGGCCGAACAATACTCCCGTACTTGTTCCTTGTGCAGAAACTGTTATCTCTGAGGATCAGAACTTCGGATGGGGCGATTGGTAAAACGATGCGAGAAAACTTTGCAAGCGAAAGTTCTATAATATCTTTGGGTAGTAATCCACGCTTCACTGCCACCGCGGTACCAACCATTTTCCGGATCTGAGGTCAAGAAAAGGAATAGCATCACTGAAAAGTCAGAGATCTGTATGCATAATACTTCTACTGTTAGGATAAACATTCATCTCAAACATCATGCTAGTTTAGTATATCAGCAATGAATTCTACATCCTAAAACCTGAACTAAGCTAGTCTACTAGTTATGCATACATTTAACAAAGGACTAGTTTATTGACACTAAATGCTGAATACTACTCCCTCCGTTCACAAATATAAGATGTTTTGGATATTTCAATATGGACTATAGTCACTATACAGTATACACGCACTGATATGAGTGAACAAACACACTAAAATGTGCCTATATACATCCGATTCAGAAAAAAGTTAGAAGATCTTATATTTGTGAACGAAGGGAATACTGTTTAGTAACCACATATCCAACTTAGAGAGAGCTAGTTAGTACCACTCAAAAAAAAAAGAGAGCTAGTTAGTGAAGAGGGATTAGGCAATGGGCATTACCAATAGAGCTTTGCTACATCTACAAGTAATTACGGGGTGAAGGGGCCGCCCTTCATTGGATATTAATGGGGGGCACGGGGCCCACCCCCTAAAATTCAGAGGGGGGGGCAGTTTTGATTAGGAGACGAGGGAGTCCATAAGTTTACATATAAATCGTTCGTAATGTTACAGTATATGTGGATTGCACTAGCCCTTTCCATCAGTTCGGACTTTTGGTTGCGTTGGCTAGTGCATGAAGCTTAACATGGTATCAGAGCTAAGGTCTTGAGTTCAAGTCCTGGTTTGTGCAATTTATCTAAAAATTGCCGATGCCCCCCTTTGTGTCCACGTATAGGCCTCTTGAGTCATACGTGAGTTTCGCGCGCCGTCGCTCTCTTCCGGTTGCACGTGTTGACTTGTCTTTCCCGTCACACGTGAGAGGGGGTGTTACAGTATATGTGGATTGCACTAGCCCTTTCCATCAGTTCGGACTTTTGGTTGCGTTGGCTAGTGCATGAAGCTTAACACGTAAGTCTAGCATTTTTGTTACCAATATACCATTCAATTGACAACACAGAAAAATAACTAAGCCTAGAAAGAAAGTCTATAAAAACATTAACATCATCTTGTGAATTTAGCTTTCATTGATGAGTATTTCTTCATAGACTCTGCATACCTGATGTAGCATAAAAGATGCTCCACATATCATCAGTTCCACAAATTGAACTCCTGATGAACTCCGCAACTCTCCACATGAGCAGGTGAGGATATCTCTGAAGTGTGATGCACTTAGTCTGTCATTGTCATTAGGCTCATGGAGCCATCTAGCTTGAATTTGCACATGACTCTCAGGAAGTTCAGGATTATCCATATTACAATTATCTTCTGGTGCACTAGAATCAAGTATTGATGGAGAGTTTAAGTATTCCTCATCTATATCAGAAGTGGTTCCATCTCCAGAAGTGCTTTTGTCCGCAACCATTTCGGAGGGGATGGAATGCGCTGTTGTGCTTGTTTCTTTGGCCCTTCGGTGTGCTCCAGCTAGAACTTTTCTATACTTCGCACGAGCAGTGTAATTATGAAATGGGTGGTTTCCCTGCAAGTAGGAACAGTATAATGAAGCTTGTGCAGAAACAATTGAATGAAAAGTGAATGGGTAAAATTGTTATCTGATCATATCTGCCTTAAATGTGCTGTACAAAAATGGTAATCATTCGCATGGCAAAAATTTATCCAGCAATGACCCATAGAAATACCTGCACTTGGGGTTATATGCATGATTTGTCTTAGACAGGGAGGGGAATGTGAAATGTGGAAATATCACCTGGACCTGGTTGGGCAGGTCATTTACAGATTTATATTAATTCTGGAAACTGTATAACCGAAGATTACATTGAACAAAACGTCCTCGGTTGTTCAGCTTTATTAATGTCACTCAGGCTGCAAGTGGGATTATACATGGGCGTCCCACCTTGAGCCCACTTGATCCCATTACATTAAGTGGAAATAACCAGAGATCCCGGTAGAACGTACAGAAATTAGGTGGGAACAAGTGGGACTCCACTTAGCAAATGCAAGCACGACTGAAACATACGGAGTAGTACACACTAATTTAGCTTTCACGGGAGGTCCGTCAGCGCGTGCGACCACGTCGCTGTCTCTGGCTACATGGATATTAGACTGAAGACTCAGTCAAGCCGCACCTGTCCACAATCTCCCCAGGACTCGCACCACCTCTAATCTTCAGTTAGCACGTACAGCCTGTACTCTCTAATTCAGATGTAATGCAATCACAATCCAAAGTTATCGAGTATCCTGGAGACCACCATGGAGGCATGGACGACCTCGTTTCCAGCACATCCGACCTGCAGTCGCCCTCCGCGGCCAGCAGCCGACCATGGAACACGCCATGGCGGTCCTCTCAGCAGACATCAC